GAGGAGGCGACCTCTAGAATTCATAGTGGGGGATCATGTCTACCTCAAGGTATCACCAATGAAAGGAGTTCATCGTTTTGGGATTCAGGGAAGGTTGGTGCCCCGTTATGTCGGTCCGTTTCAAATCCAACAAAGATTTGGACCAGTCGCCTATCGTGTTAAGCTACCAGATCACATGTCAGCTGTGCATGATATCTTCCATGTATCCCAGTTGAAGAAGTGTCTTCAAGTACCTGACCAAGTGATTGACTTTGGTGATGTAGAACTAGCACCTGATTTGACTTATGCCGAGTACCCCATTAGAGTCTTAGATCAGAAGGATCGAGTCACTCGAAGGCGTACAATCAAGTTCTACAAAGTACAATGGAACCAGCACACTGAAGAAGAAGCTACTTGAGAGTCTGAGGATTACTTAGAAGAAAACTTTCCTGACTTCATTGCTTCTCTCTAGATGCAATACCTCGTCTATATTGTAACTTGTTTATTTTGTCAAAAGAATGGAAAACCCCCTCACTAGTCTTTTGAATAAAATTATGATTTGTTAGCTTGACACATTTCCTTTTCCATTACTTAGCCTTAAGTTTTAAATCTCGGGACGAGATTTCTTTAAGGGGGAAGGGTTGTAACACCTCTGGTGTTTGGACCTAGAACTAAAACTTGGCATGTCATCATATGCATTGCAAAGCATTCATAAAGAAGAAAATTTGGAATGCATTCACTAAATAAGATTTGTTTCATAAGTTGTTATTTTATGTGATGCAATGTGATTCAAAACGTTAAACAAAGATCATGACCACAAGGGTCAGATTTTATGTGATCATGTGAGACCATGTGTCATTTGACTCAAACAACCCTAATGGGCCATGTTACTGGTCAAAAATCAAAGTTAAAGCAAAAGAAAGACAAATCAAATTTGAATTCAAATTTAAATTATAAAAGTCCGTTTTGCCCCTTTTGGATATTTCAAAATCCATTTGGAATTTGGGGTTGTGACAAAAAGCAAAGTTGGAGCTTATTTTATAAGGATCAACTTTGGTAGTCAAAGTTTTTCAAGTTTACATATAAAATTTGGAGTAATTTTGAAATGATTCAAATGCTCTAATGCACCCCAAATTCAAATTTCAAAATGGAGGCAGAATTTGAAAATGTTTCTAGAAGCAAAGTTGTAGAGTTTGAAAAATTGAACAACTTTTATTTTTGGAGATTTTCAACTTCTTTAGAAAATTTGTGAGTAATTTGAAAAATGGACGCAGTGGCAGTTCTGTAAATTTTTCAAAAATCAACCTCCACCTCCCCGCTTGCCGCCGATCGTTCTCGCCGCATTCCTGGCGCGCAGCACGCCACCGTCGCCGTGGCGCCTGGTGCGTCTTATTTGTCGCGGCCGGGCGAGCTCATCCCGCTATAAATAGCCTCATTGCCACCGTCGTTCCTCCCATTTTCCTTCGCTTCTGCGCTGCCGCCAGCTTGCTCGCCGCTTCGCCAGTAGCCTCCGTCGAAAGCAAAGATCCGTCGTGCTCCAGCCACGCCTACGTGATCGCCTCGGCCTTGCGCCTCTCTGCGGCTTGCCCACGCCACTTGGGTTGGCGGAGTCGCCCCGCAGAATCGCTTCTTCCCCAAGCCCGGTCGGAGCTCCGCCACCGTCAAGCTCGCCGTAGCCAGGATGTTCTAGAGTGTCTCCGACTCCACCGAGCACATCAACGTGTTCGTGGTGAGTCCCTGATCATGTTTCACCCTTCGCTTTAGAATCTATTGTGTTGTTGCCGGTGATACGCCGTGTGCCACCGCGCTTATCGCCGCCTGGCCGCCATGGCCGTCCGTAGTGTCATCTCCGGTGTGCTCTTTGCTTGTCCAAGGGTCGAGATAGGTCCGCCGTGAGGTGGTGATCATGTTGGTACCGGTCCCCTCGCCGAGCCTCGCCGACAAGCGCGTTTTCTGGCCGGAGTCGCAGCGGCCGCGCATACTGTCTTTGTGACGCCGACACGTGGGGTCGACACATCGAGAGAGAGAGAGAAAAAGATGAGCTTTTTCTAATTTACGAATTTTGAATAGTGCAGCAATTTTGCAATTTTGTAGGAATTTATTTACAGATCTAAAAATTCTAAAAATTTGTGGGTAGCTTCTATATATGTTCTACTATGGTTTAAAAATATGAAACTTGAAATTTGGATGAATTTTAATGTTCAAAAATTCAGTCAATTAATTAATAAATGCAATTTCTATGATTTTTTGTAGGCCTTTGTATAACTCGAAAAATTATCAAATTTATTTTTGTACACTAATTTATCATGAGGATGCTTGTGTAAATTTTTGAGATCATTTGGAGCAAGTTCATTTTGAGCTTAATTCTAAATTAATTCAAAAATAAATAAAGGTAAACCCTAAGTGTAGGTTTAGGGTTTGATCTTGATTTGGGTCATGTTTTGTGACCAGTGGGGTGTCAAGATCAATTTAGTTGAGTCACTTAGGTCACAAGCCCTTGGTCAGTAAAGTGTGATTAAGGTTTACTTAATGAATGATTTCATCCATTAAGAGTGGGACTAGAAATGAAACCTTAAGGAAGTTCTTTTAGAAGGATGTAGGGTCTCTTAGTAACATGTTGTGTTGTCCTTAATGGTAGAATTGGAAGTGGTTTTGTTGGCTTGCAACTATACCGCGAAGAAAAGTTGTACTCAAGGTGTTGTTATATTTCATGTACCATGAAAGCATCATGTTTACATTATCATCATGTTGAAGCATATGTTATTATATCGTGTAGAATCCGAGAGTGAACCGATTCTAGTTGAACAAGTGGTGGGAGAATCCCCGGTTGTTGCGGGATTCGATATTCGTGGTGTTGATCCAGAAACCGAGATCGTCAACGAAGGCAAGCCCCGATTTATGCATTACACCATTACCTTGTTTACTTTGAAAAGTTTATCACTTATGTTACTTATCGCATTAAGTTGTTTATTCAAATGTTACCTACTTGATGCATTGCCTACCTTGTTAATTGTTTACCATCCTTGAAGATGATTTCATTTACAAAGGCGTAGAATTACTTAGTATGCTTTATGGTAGGCTTTTCAAAGTAAAAGTTTCGATATAATCAAAGATGGCATACTGGCCAAAGAAAGAAAGAAGGAATGTAGAATGAACTAGAGACTAGTTGGGTGGCTTATCTTGAATGTTGGGTAATGTTGCCGACTATGTCGCTTAAAGGCCACTCATTGTGGATCTTCTGAACGAGACACTTTGTAGTACTAGTCACATACTCCGGTAAGCCTACTTCGGCTAATCCGATACTAAGACGAATGCCCACGCACTGGGAGTGGTGAGATGGCGGGAGTAGCGTGTACCCTCGTGGCTTGAATGTGGCCGGATTTGAGGTGTGCTGTGCTCTCGGGTGGCGTGGAGACGGCTTAGTACGGGAGGATCCGGTAGCGAGGTTGATATATGCAAGATTAAGTTCTACATATGTCGTGTGATAAGGAATCCCCAGCTGGGACTTGAATCAATTCGAATTGTCGGTGCTCCGTGGACATGGAGACTCGATTCATTACAGAAGCAATGTAGGACTGGTGAATTACTAAAACTTGAGAAAAGGAATGGAATGAGAAGGATTGGAACAGGGGATATAAACACTTAGTTTGAGATATTGAACTAAAGTACTTAGGGGTAAAACTTGAAACTAGGATAAAAAATAGTACGCTTTTGGCAAAGAACTTTTGAATCTTTCTACATCCTTACCTTGACCCAACACCGGCATCCCTAAGACCTTCACCCTTTTTGGTCGGGTCAGTCTTGTTGAGTACTTTTGTACTCAGGGTTTGTTAACCCTTGTTGCAGGTGAGTCGCATGCGCAGACTTGTTTTGGTCCCTGCTGCATGTCAGTGTTTGAAGTCGATGACGATGAGGAATGATGAATGGCCTTTGGACAAGGCACTAGTTTGTGTGAAATAAATAATGTTAATGTAATATTATCCCGCTAATATGGTTGTATGACACTTATGGTTTTGTAAGTTTGAAACAACTGGTTTGTAATATCAAAACTTAAGTTTTCCGCTTTATTACCTCTGGTATGTATATTGAAAAATGTTGTAATCTGCAATGACTGTGATTGGAATCATGTTTGAAACATGGATGATTCGGGTTTCCCGAGGACACCCGACAGACCTATTAAGTTGTTGGGAACTTGTGTACGCTATCTGAGGTCTGTTGAGACATCGATAGGTGCACGTGGGCCCGATTTCTTAGGAGGTTCTGCCACATTAATCTTATGGATGCTAGTAAATTAGACTTCAAATCTAGATCAAACTTTTAGAAGTACAACATTTGAACAAAATTAAAGCGAAGTACTACATCCGTCTATGAAAGAATGCAATTCTAACACATCAAGTGGTTAAAGTATCTTGAGTTTAATGTACTATAAGTAAAAAAAATCAATATTTATATAATCATTGGATTTATCATGTGTTATATTTTAAATATCAATATTTTATCTATATATTTAGTCAAAGTTTAGAAATGTTAATAAGAATTGTAGTGTTTCTTGGACAGAGGTTGTGTATAATTTAGACCGGAGCCGGTATATATAAAAAAATCCGGTGGACTCCACCAGGGAGAATCAAATAACGTGGGCGGGTGTGAACGAGGACGACTGCGCTGGATGCCAATCTTTTCTTTTGGAATCGTCCTTTGCTGTTCTCGAAAGATAAAACAAAGAATCGTCCTTGGCTCCTTGCTAGTCTGAACGTGTCTTTATTTCCTTTAATCATTTCGGCGCCCATGCATCGTTCACTATAGATAGATACCATACGTGAGCGTGACACGCCACTGCAAAGCTTAAATAGAGAGCACCGGCCGCAACAGATGGAGCGCTCAAGCTCAACAAGGCCTTGTTTAGTTGGCCGAATTCAACGCCACCGGATTCACTGTGCAACACTGTAGTTGGGAGTTAAGAGCAACTAAACAAGGACCTCAAGTAGCCACAAAGCCAGAAAGCGCGCAAGGCCAAGGCATCCATGGAGCTGGCTGTGACCGCACTGAACGGCCTCCTCCCCAAGCTTGGTTCCCTTCTGGTGGGTGAGTACAATCTTCAGAAGCGTGTGAGAGGGGAGATCCGGTTCCTCAAGGACGAGATGGAGAGGATGCAGGCGGCCCTCAACGTCTTGTCCAAGCAGCCAGCAGATTGCGTTAGCGATCTTGACAAGCTGTGGGCAAGGGATTTGAAGGAGCTGTCCTACGACATAGAGGACAGCGTGGATACATTCATGCTGCGTGTGGATGGTGCTCACGCGAATCCACGCAGATTGACTGGTTTCAGGAGGTTCATCGATAAGATCGGCCTCATTGACAAGATGAAGTTGGTAAAACAGGCCAAGGTTCGTCGCCGGGTCGCCATGGAGCTCGAAGACATCAAGAACCGTGTCACAGAGGTGGCTGCTAGGAGGGAGAGGTACACTACCGTCCCCACAGAGCAGCCTGACACAAAAGCCATCATCGATCCGCGCATCCAATCTCTCTTTGAAGATGTGCCCGACCTCGTTGGCATCGATGGCCCCTCAGAGAGGCTTGCCAGCTTGCTGACGCAAGGGAGGGAGAACCTTATGGTTGCCTCGATTGTTGGACTAGGAGGCCTTGGTAAGACGACGCTTGCCAATTCTGTGTATCAAAGACTCGGAAGCCAATTCAAGTGTCAAGCTTTCGTCTCAGTGTCACTTAAGCCAGACATAAAGAGGACCTTAAGCAGCATACTACGTCAAGTCAGGAGTAACAACTGCACCGACGACGGTGAAAAAGATCCCGCCAACGCCAACGACGGAGAAAAAGATCCCGAGGAACTTATAAGGAGTATAAGGAAATGCCTCAATGACAAGAGGTACTTCCTCCGCTCTTGCTTGCTGCCGGTTTTTGAGTTTTTATTATGTTATATATCTTTGAGATCGAGACAATACGTATTAAATTATATATGTAAAAATATCTCTAACTTAGGAAAATGTTTCAAAGAGTGACCTTAGAACCTAGACATGTATATTGTGTATGAAGGGTCTGTTTGGATCAACTAGTACTAAATAGTTAATCGTTACTAACAATTAGCTAACTAATTTTTAGCAGGAAGTAGTTTGAATCCACCTACTAATATCTTACTATTACTAATTGGAGGCTCCACTTTAGTCCACAACCGAAGGAAAAAAAAAAGATAAATTTTAGAAATTGTCACCATAATTAAAAACATTTTGCCTATAATTTGTAGTCTAATCATCATCATTATTACTGATAATAACCATAGAATATATTCTACTTTATTAAAAAATTTCCACTACTGTCATTATGAAAAATACATAAAGTAACCACCTAATTTTATCTCTAAAGTACCCACCTATGCCAATGTCAAACCTAATTTAAAATAACCTCCTAGATTTGTATCTAAATTATCCACCTTTGTCATTATAAAAGATAATTTCAGATACCCCCTAACTGTATTACAAATTACACATGTTCACCATTATGAAAGATAATGTAAAGTAAAACCCTATATGTTTGTATTCAAATTACACATGTATGCCGTTACAAAAGAAAATATACAGTAACATTTTAATTTATATCTAAAATATCCACCTATCATAAAAAATAAACAAAAAATATATCTAAAATCTAAAATAGATACTAATTTAAGCTATCATCACAAAGATAATTCAATATCCATATATATATATATATATATATATATATATATATACACACACACACACACACACACACACACACACACACACACACACACACACATTCCTATATTACACACATCTACAAATGCTAAGTTGAACATAAGCATAATTCTATATGTTGCACCATGTAGACCAAGAAACATGCATACATTAAGATAAATATTTATTTTCATAGCTTATCAAGCACGGAAAATTGTTCATTAACAAACCCCATAGTATTGACACTAGTAATTCAGTTTGAATTGTCATTCTAAATAAGTTTATACATTTTGATTAAAATATTATGTGAAATGAATATTGGTTATTTAATTTTAAGCACTCTATATTTTCTAAAACAATGTTGCTACACATATAATTATGTGGTATGTCAAATTCAACATATTGAGTGCCATGGTGCAAGCTGAAATGATAATTGACGCCATTGCAAGAATCAAAAAGTTAATCAAAGCTCCAAAATTTTTAATCAAAGATACAATAAGCACTAGTGTTTCAACTTAACATATATGGATAAAAATTACAACAACTAGACAAAGTGTTGAATGCTGAATTATAGATTCATGATCTCACATAAAGGGATGCAATAAGAGTTTATACAACTTAAGCTTAGGTTTCAACTAAATACTTATCAGGATAGAAAAAAATAAGTCCTAGAAATTTTAACTAAAGGTCTCTAATGGAGCCTTCATGTTGTCCTCATGAGACCTACTTAAAAAAAATCCTAAAAATTATCACAAAAATGAAAATATTTGGCCATCAATTTCCTTGACTCTAATAACTATTGATAATATAATAGCCATTAGATCTATTCTATTTTGTAAATAATTATGCATCTCTACTATTGTAAACAATATAAGGTAACCAATGAATCTATACTTAAATTACCCATCCATACCCTTAAGAAACATGATCCAAAGTACATTTAATTTTGCATCTAATTAGCTCCATACTATTATGATAGATAATCAATGTACTCATTTAAACTTGCATCAAATTAACCCCTACTTTCATTATTGAGAAAATACTAAGACTAGTCTCAATGGGAGTTCCATAGAAGTTTCATGCGCATTAAATAAGCTGATGTGGCATAGTTTAAATGAAGAGAAAGATGGAAATAGTTTCATGGGGATGAAACTTGTTTACATTGTTTCCAACACCAGGGAGTCTTGGGAACAGAGCCATGAAACTCCCACTGAGACTAGCATAAATGTCCCCTCAAACCTACATCTAAATTATGAATACCTTTTATTACAAAAAATGTTTAAATAACCATAAACGACACATACTTTTATATGTTACCCACTTCTATTTATATTAATATATTAAAATTTGAATAAAGTAAATATACAAGTTGTGCCATCATGTAGATCAAGTAAACATGCATGTATGATAGATAAATAAATATGTTACGTTTCAGCCATCACGAAAAACATTTCCTTAACAACTCATATGTAGTAACAAATTATTTAAAATGTTATAACCATTGACATACAATTTATATAAGTTAGTGCTTTAGATATACTTATACATGTTATTTATAATGTTTTCGCTTATCTATATTAATAATATAGCCATTAGTACACATAATCTTTGATATGAAAATTCATACACCTTGAGAACTAGGGGAGGTTAAAGCATACCACATGTAGTGCTTGTTTGGCATGGCTCCTTTGAGTGCTCCTCCGAAGAAGCCAAAGCCGGAGGGAGGATCCCCAAATTACGGCTCCTTCATAACAGAGCCGGATGGAGGAGCCCCAAATTGCAGCTCCATCTTCAAACATAAAAATGGCTCTAGATCCTCTTCTGTACACCAAAAATGACTCTTCCTACCGGGGTTTTGGTGCTGCTCGTCTACCGAAGTTAATGCCGTAGCTAGAGTTGGAGCCGTGCCGAACTTGTCCATAAGTGTATCTTTCTGGCCTTTAAGATTTGATTAGAATAAATTGTCATTGAGGGTTGAATTTTAAATCCTCTCAAGGTTAGCACAGCTACCCATCATAGATCTTCCATCAAGCACTACCGGTAATCTTAAACAACATGGTGCATGCTTTAAATGACTATTTATATTATTATGGTACTTAAGTGTGTAGTCTACAACCTAAAGTCATTATTTTTAAAAAGTATAAAAGGATTATTAGTAAATGATATATTAAGTACCAGGGTTTCAACTTAACATGAGGATAAAAAAATGTAGCAATTAATAAGACTAATATTTGAAAATTGAAATTTAGATTCATAATGTTAAAGATATGGGCTACAACAAAACTCACTGTAGTTTAAGCTAACATTTCAACTAAATGTATATTAAAGATACACAGAAGTACCATGCAAATGGAAAAGAATTTGAATATGGATCAAAAAACATATAGATCAATAACTCATAACTTTATCACAACTAGATAGAGACTAAAGTGTATCTATTATGCATTGAGTTACAAAATGAACAAAGAGAAAAGGACATATAGTTTAACATAATATTTTTTTAGTCAGAGATATTAAACAATAATTAATGTTTATGTCTTCTAAGGTTTGAGCCCACGTGAGAGTATGGGTTGATGGACTAGTGCTGATAATAGGTGGTTAGCACCTATTAGCAGCCATAAATCTGCTAGTGGAACTAATAATTAGCAGCTCTAAACCTAATCTTAGTCTATTAGAAAATCTGTTTGGATCCACCAGTACTGATTTTGTCTACTAACTATTGGCACTAGTGGATCAAAAAGGCCCCAAATTACCTTGGCTACAGATGCAGTTTTTATTTTGTTTGTGTTCCACTGCTCTTTTATAATTGAAGCCATTTTGTCACCTGTCGTTGCATGCAATTAATACCCTTACAAACCTATAGGTACTTCATTGTCATCGATGATCTATGGGATGAATCAGCATGGAAAATTATCAAGTGTGCTTTGATTGACAACTGTCATGGAAGCAGGGTAATTGTGACGACCCGTAATCTTCATGTGGCAAAACTGTGTGCAACTCCTATTGGTGGTGCCTTGTGTGAACTAGAACCTCTCTCTGATGCACACTCCAAAAGGTTGTTCTATAAAAGGGTATTTAACAAAGATGGAATTCATAATGAGTTGGATGAAGTAGCCGGGAGAATTTTGAAGAAATGTGGTGGGGTACCATTAGCTATCATTACCGTAGCTAGTTTGTTGGCTAGTAAACCCAGAACAAGGTATGAATGGAATCGTGTATACAGATCTCTTGGTTCAGGACTTGATAAAGATAAGACTATGGAGAATATGCGAGTCATTTTATCTCTCAGTTACTATGAGCTTCCTTCCTATCTAAAGCCCTGTTTAATGTATTTAAGCCTGTTTCCGGAGGATTGCCATATTGACAAAGACAGCCTTGTGAGGAGATGGGTTGCCGAAGGCCTTGTGGATGGACAAGATGGGAGAAATTTGTACGAGCTGTATGACCTTGGAGAGAGTTATTTCATTGAGCTTGTTAATAGAAGTTTCATCCAGCCATTAGACATTGATGCTGTAGATGGTATTCCAAATGCTTGTTCTGTGCATGATGTGATACTTGATCTTCTAATTTCCCTGTCAACTGAGGATAATTTTGTGTCAAGGTTAGATTGTCAGAACTTTGTTCCCTCAACACGTAAGATTCGCCGACTGTTGCTGCAAGACAATCAGGAGGAAGTCATAGTGCCACAAACAGTGGACGTATCCCATGTGAGGTCAGTGATTGCATTTGGTGATGCTTTTCACTGGATGCCACATCTGTCAAGGTTTAAGTTTCTTCGTGTTTTGGATCTGGAAGGTTTCCCAAGCAAGAATAATCATCCAAGGGATCTACGACATTTGCATCATTTGAGGTATCTGCAGCTACGTGGTTATCTTGGAAGAGAGGTACTAGAAGAAATTGGAAACCTACAGCACCTAAAGATGTTGGACTTAAGTCATGCCTACGTACATGATGATGAACTGCCGGCAAGTATCATTCGGCTTAGAAACCTTCAAAGTCTACTTGTCGATGTTGGTGTCAAGATGCCACAAGGAATTGGGAGCTTAAGTCTACTGCAAGAAATATCATGGATTGAGGTGGAACCAAACACTGCAGCTGAGTTTGGAAGGTTAACAGAGATGAGGGTGCTCTGCATATATGGACTAGGTTTCGACGAGAGTGACGACCAGGCTTTTCTCCAGAGTCTGTCCAATCTAAGCAACCTTTTGGGTTTATTCATTGATCGATCTAAGCTATGTTCCTTAGATAACTTGTCCGATCCTAGGCGCGTCCCAGCACGCCTCCGTTTCTTTCGTGGAACCAGGACAACCTTCCAGCAGCTGCCACGTTGGTTTTCATGGCTCTCTGAGCTGTCCGGCTTAACCATCACCGTAAATAAGCTCACACAGGATGACCTCAAAATGCTTGGAGCCTTACCTGAGTTACGTTTTCTTCAACTGGAAGTTGCTCAGGAAGGTACCACTGCCGAAGAACGGTTGTCGATTGGTAGCGATCAGCCCTTTGAATCATTGGAAGAATTTAAATTTAAGCACTGTGCAAGATGTTGGCTGGTGTTTTCTCAAGGAGTGATGGCAAGGCTTCAAAAGCTCGAGTTATACTTTGAAGTAAGGAAGAGAGATGGTGCGCTTGATGTCGGCTTGGAGAACCTGACTTCCCTAAAACATCTCACCATTATAGTTGATTGCTATCAAGCCAAGATTAGGCAGGTGGAGGCTGTGGAGACCAAGCTCAGGAATGCATTGGACGTCCATCCCAACAACCCAACTCTTGAGATGTCGCGAGAATCTACCTATTACATGCAACAGGATGAGACTTCGGAGCATCATCAAAGGTAACGCAACTGGCCTCCCCCATTAAGTTGCTACTACTCTTTTTATTTCTTTTCCTAACGCTGCTTGTTTTAACTCTTGGTGATATACCTGGTGTGATCAGTTTGGAATTGCCGGCAGCCAACGATGAAAGCGATAACGATAGTGATGCTTTCATGTAAAGGTAACATGGTTGTTGCTTCCCTTCAATTCCCCATGAATATATTTTCTTCTTTCTATACTTCGGTTTGTTCACTCGTCCTTTCTACTCCTTTCGCAGTGAAGTCTGACGGTCGAATGGAATTAGCAGGTTCCTCCATAATCTACTGCTTTTCAAAAATAAAGCATCAGCTAATCGTAATTCTTCTTTGGATACTTCCAACCCTCCACCCTGTTCCTGTACCAATATGCTGCTCTGTCAATGTTGCTCCAGCCTCCGTCACCTGTTCAGTCCGTTATTCACGCCGACATGGTTCATTGCTGTTATGCATCTGCTGACTAATATCAATCCTGTGTTTACATTTACTTGTTATTTTCTGGGTCGACCTGTCACTTACTACTATTATGCTTTTTGTATAAACATTTTCATTATTCTCCCATTTATCCTCCCTCATACTCTGTTTCTTGTTGTCTAGCATCCATGACTTTTTTTTTTCACTATCACTAGAACATGCTGCCATGACCACAGGAACATTAACGAAAATACAGTTTAATGTATATTCCTTGCTTAATACTCCCTCCATTTCGAATCGTAAATCGTCTAGCTTTTCTAGCTACATAATTTTTTCTACATATCTAGTGTTGTTCTTGACCTTAGTCTTCGAACACCACGGGGTCGACCGGATAATGGAAAGTGCGAAGTGTGACCAATCGGATGATGAAACAATGATACAGCGAAGAAGGAATGTGGTAACAGAAGAGTATCAATCTTCATCCTCCTTACAAAGGCCCCCTGAGGGCACTATTTATTGGCGTCCTTGAATTTTATATGGGACTGAATTACCCCGCACCTGCCCTAGATCCAAGCCATATCCTTTAGATTCCGGGACAATTTGGTCAGACGGTTGGCACCGTTTCTAGAAAACACCTAATCATCTCCTGGCACCAGGGACCACTCGGGTCAGACTGTTGTTGGGTTTCACAATTGGCTTCCTTGACTCAGGGACCGGCCCCTTCCGCTCCCTCTCCCTTCGCCATGGGTCGCTTCGACGCGGCCTTCTCACTACGCACGATCATGGGATTCTCCATTCCTGGAGATCGCCCTCTTCGCCCACTTTCATTTCGCTGGGGCCGCCGTCGCCACGACCTCGCTTGCCGATAAGGGGGAGCCAGGCGATTACCTGCTGACTGTTGAATTTCCTTCTGTTGCGTATGTGTGTGTGTGTCTATCTTTAGCTTGTACAGCTGAGTGGTGGTGAGCGCGGCGCTTGTTTCGCGTCGTGCGCGTGTGAGTGCGTCTGGTGGCGAGGCTTGGCCCGGCAATGTCGCCCATGTCGCGCGGCTGTGGGATGGTGCAGCAAGAAACGCGGGGCGTGGACGGTAGCGACGGGAGCTAAGTTTAGCATGTAATCCAAGTCAATAAAAGGAGAAGAAAACCAGAAAAGCAGCAGTTCGTGCGCTGCGCCAAAATCCGGTCCACCGAGTTCACCGCGAATTAATCGTTTGTTCATCGCGTTCATCGAGTTCGTGAGGGAGAGACCGAGCGTTTCAGCGACTATAGATCCTGAGCCGTTTTCAACAACTGGTATCGGAGCCCGTTTCCGTCGCTGGGATCGTCATCGAGCCATTGAAGCTGCGTTCATGCCGCGCGGGAGATCGAGCTCGCCGCGGCGCCGGCGATCGACATCCCCAATTGACAGCCGCGCAGGAGGCAGCGGCTGGTACGACCGTGGGCTGGTGATACACTGCACGGTCCGGGAGGTGGGCAACGCCGGATGGCCCATGTTGATGAGGATGAACTACACCGATTGGGCGGCATTGATGCGCGTCATGCTCCAGGGGAGGCACCTCTGGGACGCCGTCAACGTCGGCACCACGGTATTCACCGACGACCGCAACGCATTGGAGGCGCTGTGCAAGTCGGTTCCTCCAGAGCTCCAAGGAGGGATGGCCAACAAACCCACGGCCAAGGCGGCGTGGGACGCGCTCAAGACACGGTACATCGGCGTCGATCGAGTGCGGAAGGCCAAGGCGCAGACGCTGCGCCGGGAGTTCGACACGATCACCTTCAAGGAAGGAGAGTCTATCGATGACTTCGCGTGCCGCATCACCAAGATCACCGATCAGCTCTCGGTGCTTGGGGAGGTGTACGAGGAGGAGGAGATCGTGCGTAAGTTTCTTCAGGCTCTCCCCGATCGCTTTGAACAGATTGCGGTGGCGATCGAGACGCTCCTCGATCTCGAGGCGGTGTCCCTGGACGAGCTCGTGGGGCGGCTCAAGGCGACGGAGGAGCGTCTGAACTGCTCGAAGGCGAGAGGTGGAGGCGGATCGGGCGGCAGCGGTGCCGGCAAGGAGATCGACGGCAAGCTGTACTTCACCGAGGAGCAAGTGATCGCCCGCCTCGCATCGCGCCTCAACATCAACGCGGATGGGTCGGCGGTCCGTGACAAGGCGCCGTTCGTCTCGGGCAAGCGCCGCGGCGATAGCAGCCTCGGCAAGGAGCGTGGCAAGGAGGCACGCTTAGGGCCGTCCAAGGGCGGCAACGGTGGAGAGGATGAAAACCTCTGCCACTACTACGGCAAGATCGGACACTGGAAGCGGGAGTGCCGGAAGAAGAAGCGGGATGAGGAAAAGACGGCTGCGGCGGCGGCTGCAAATCAGCCACAGGCAAATCTGGCTTAGGCGGAACGGGAGGCGCCCGCTCTGTACATGGCCGTGGTGACCCCGCTGGAGACGGTTATCCACGGCGGGCGGCGTAACGAGCACGTCTTCCTCAACGAGCACAAGGTCGTGGCGGACCTGGACGGCGACGGCGAGCGTGGGGAGATGCAATGGTACCTTGATACCGGTGCATCGAACCACATGACCGGCGACGCGTCTATCTTCTCCGAACTGAACCCCGACGTTCTCGGCTCTGTGCGGTTCAGGGATGGCTCGCTCGTGGAGATCACGGGGTGCGGCACGGTACTGTTCGCGTCCAAGGATGGCGGCCACCGTGCGTTCCACGACGTCTACCACATTCCCCGCCTTCGCAGCAGCATCCTGAGCATCGGCCAACTTGACGAACATGGATGCAAGATCGAGATTGAAGATGGGACCCTTCGGATGTGGGATCGATCAACTCGTGAGCTGCTCGCCAAGGTAAGGCGCACGCCAAACCGCTTGTACATCCTGCCACTGAGGCCGACGCCGCCGGTGTGCCTGGTCGCCATGTACGACGACGAGGAGTGGAAGTGGCATGCCCGGTTCGGGCATCTGGGCTTTCAGGCACTGAAGAAGATGGGGCGCGAGGGCATGGTGCGAGGCCTTCCACAGATCGAGCACGTGGAGCACATCTGCGACGCCTGCCTGGCCGGGAAGCAACGTCGAGCGCCGTTCCCACAAGCCGCCAACTACCGCGCCGGCAAGCCGCTGGAGCTGATCCATGGGGATCTCTGTGGCCCCGTCATGCCTACGACACCCGGCGGCAAGCAGTATATCATGCTGGTCGTCGACAACATGTCGCGGTACATGTGGGTGGTTCTCCTCGCCAACAAGTCCGATGCTAAGGACGCGTTCTGCAAGTTGCGCGCCGGCGTCGAGGTGGAGTCCGGGCGGAAGATCAAGGCGTTCCGCACCGATCGTGGGGGGGAATTCACGTCGGTGAGTTTCCTCGAGTACTGCTCCCAGCGTGGGATCAAGCGGCACCTCACTGCGCCGTACAGTCCCCAGCAAAACGGCGTGGTGGAGCGCCGGAATCAAACCGTGCTCGCCATGGCGCGGAGCATGATGAAGGCCAAGGTGGTTCCTGCGTGGCTATGCGGGGAGGCTGTAATGACGGCCGTCTTCCTGTTGAATCGCGCCCCGACGAGGAGCTTGGTGGGGCATACACCGTATGAGGCTTGGTACGGCGAGAAGCCGGCCGTGCACTTCCTGCGTGTTTTTGGCTGCGTGGCGCATGTGAAGGTCACCAAGCCGAACGCAGGGAAGCTCGATGACCGGAGTGTGAAGATGGTGATGATCGGGTACGAGCCTAGATCAAAGGCTTATCGGGTGTTCGACCCTGTCGTCAACCGGGTGCACGTCACTCGCGACGCTGTCTTTGAAGAAGATGCCTCGTGGGACTGGAGCGCGTCCAACAACAGCGGCGGCACGGAGGGGATCGACTACAATGCTGGCTAGGACACGCTCGTGGTGGAGGACGATTGGGCTGAACTGGGGCCGGGGGAGCAGGCTGATGCCTTCCCGGACGGTCACGCCCCGTCGTCGCCTTCAACAGGAGGTGCGTCTGTGGCTGCACCGCACTCCCCGCCACCTGGTGACATGCACCCGGCGCCCCAGATGGCGTCATCCGCTTTGTCAAGGTCTGCAGCAACGTCATCGGTTGCGTCGTCACCACGAACACCGTGGGTACATGGTGGGCCTGTACCATGGCAAGGTGAACTGCCAAAGAAGAGTACTGTCCCAGAGCAGTTCGTGTCTCCTACAACAGGTGCACTGGAGATGCTGGACACGGATGACGAGGAGGGAGCCACGCACTGCTTCAGGATCGTCGACAACTTCTTGTACGACAACGACGAGCTCGTAGCAGATAGTGATCTGCTGCTCACCGCCGATACCGAACCATCTACATTTGATGAGGCGGCGGGCCACAAGGAGTGGAAGCAGGCCATGTCGGAGGAACTCAAGTCCATCAACGACAACAGGACCTGGGCACTCATCGATGCGCTGCCAGGTGTGAAGCCCATAGGCCTGAAGTGGGTCTTCAAGATCAAGCGCGACGCCGACGGCAACATCACCAGGCACAAGGTGCGTCTGGTGGCGAAGGGTACGTGCAGCGTGCTGGCGTCGACTTCAACGAGGTCTTTGCCCCTGTGGCGCATTTGGAATCCGTGCGGTTCCTCCTCGCCATCGCCGCGCACCATGGGTGGACGGTGCACCACCTTGATGTGAAATCGGCGTTCCTGAACGGAGACCTGGCGGAGGAAGTGTACGTCGAGCAGCCACCGGGGTATGCGATCTGTGGCAAGGAGCGCAAGGTGTA